CGTTCCACTTCGCTGCCCCACTGCGGGTATGGCAGTGGTTCCGTTTGTCCTGCTTGCACGGTATCTGGGTGCCTGACTAGAGCTACCCAGCCCGTCTCGCTGGTTTCTGCGGTCCATCAGCCTCTGCTATGCGATTCAGTTTGCCCGGCGTCCCCCCAAGTTCAGTGGCATCCGCTTCACAACAGTGAAGGCGGCCGATGGTCCTGTTGTGACCCTCGTTCCCTGAAGGAGGGAATGGAGACGTCACGTCCCGTCGCCACATCTCCTGTACCACCGCTGAGCGGCCGGGTCACCGGCTCGGCTCCTCAGCGAAAACCTGAATATGCGCTGCATCTGCTGCCTACTTATACTCACGCTGTGATCAGCGGCAGCTGGATGCAATAATCGCATGCCAATGTGCATTGGCTCGTTTAGTTTACACTCGAAGTAGATTGGTCTCTCTAAGCGAGATCCCAATTCGTTGGTCATCCGACGTGGCGTTTCCGTTCCCTTCTTCAGGGAACGAGGGTTACCATACGTAACCGAGACGTTCTCCATTGCTAGTGTGATGCTGTACAGATACTTCAGTGCTGCTCGATTCTCTCCTGTCTTCAATAACGTCTTCAGAACAGCACAGTGGTGCCATGACAGTGTTGGAGGACAAGCTCTTGGGCTCAATAAGACATTCATTGAGTCCTGGGAATAAAAATGTTCAGAGCTCAATTGGTTTCGACAAATGAAATAAGATGCCATACAATCTGTGTGATGATATTGAAAACAGCTCACTGTTACTAATCCGTGATCTAGAAGCCAGAATCCACAAATCTGTTGAGAAAATGCAGATGGGATACTGAAGACATGGCAGAATGACTGCAGGAGATCATCCTTACAGTGCAGGAAGTTAGACACATCCAGGACAAAGTACATTATCTGGAGAGGATTTGTTAAAGAGCGTTATCCTCCAACCACAAGAGAGCAACCAAAGCTAAGAATGTAAATTATTTGTAAATGATGTATATCATTATAGGACATATATTATATTATATAATATACATACATGTACATACACACACACACACACACTACCGTTCAAATTCAAATGTTTGGTGTCATTATGATTTTTCATGCTTTTGAAAGAAGTCTCAGTAAAACAGTATTATTTTTAAATATTAATACAGTTTAAGATAACTGTTTATCCGTAAAAAAATAATTAATTTGATTATTTTTTCTTTTTGGTAACATTATTATGGAAAAGGATTATATGGAAGCCCGTTTCCGCCACTGAATAAAAATAAATAAAGGTTATTGCCACTTTTTATCTCACAATTCTGATTTTTTTTTTCTCAGAATTGCGTGATATAAACTCACAATTGCGAGTTATAAAGCCAGAATTGCGAGATATAAAGCCACAATTGCGAGATAAAAACTCGCAATTCTGACTTTATAACATGCAATTTCGAGTTATAAAGTCAGAATTGCATGATATAAACTCGCAATTGCGAGAAAAAAAGTCAGAATTGCGAATCAATTGTGAGTTTATATCACGCAATTCTGAGAAAATTTATATCACGTAATTCTGAGAAAAAAGTCAGAATTGTGAGTTTTTATCACGCAATTCTGAGAAAAAAAAGTCAGAATTGTGAGTTTTTATCACGCAATTCTGTGAGAAAAAAGTCAGAATTGTGAGTTTTTATCACGCAATTCTGAGAAAAAAAAGTCAGAATTGTGAGTTTTTATCACGCAATTCTGTGAGAAAAAAGTCAGAATTGTGAGTTTTTATCACGCAATTCTGAGAAAAAAAAAGTCAGAATTGTGAGTTTTTATCACGCAATTCTGTGGAAAAAAAAAGTCAGCAATAACCTTTTTTTTTATTTATTCAGTGGCGGAAACGGGCTTCCATAGTATGAGGACCAAGCAATGATATAAAAAAAACTCTTTTCAAAAAAAGATTCTCGAGAGTCATTATAATGCGAGATTAAACTCGTTAAATTTCGAAAAAAAACAATCTCTAAATAAAATTTAGAGAATAAAATCATTATATTTCGAGAATAATGCTGTTGTGTTTCAAGAAAAAAACTTGTTACATTTAGAGTAAAAAAGTCTATATAAAATGTTTAGAATAAACATTATATTACAAGAAAAAAAGTTGTTGTGTTTCGAGAAAAAAACATTCAATTTTGAGTAAAAAAATCTAAATAAAATGTTGAGGAAAAACTAATATTTTGACAATAAACTCAGTATGTTTCGAGAAAAAAAACTCATTAGTTTTCGAGAAAAAAAGTAAAGATAAAATGCTGAGAATAAACATCTGAGAAATAAACTAAATATTAAAATAGAAATAAGCAGGATACAATGGCTTGGACAGACAGGATGTCAATATTAGGCAGCAGCACTAGCTTTAGCAAATCTTCTAGAGATGGTGGTGGGAATGTCTGATAGGCACAATCTTCTGAAACCCATATAGGTCCATGGTGTTTGTCCATATGAGCTACCATACCCTGAATAAGGGAGCTCCACCGGTACTTTTCCTCAGCATAATCACTGATGAGAGAACATTGGTTATTAATATTTCAAATGATTATTAAATATTAATAAAAAATACATATTACTGTCAGCTAGAGTGGAAAATGTGGTGGTTACCTCAACTCCAGACATGTTCTCCTGTGTTTCTGGTCCACCTCACGCCACATCTGAGATATCCTCTTCATCTCATGGGCTTCTGAAAAAAATCAATATGAGGACATAATTAATTACAGTTTACTTTGTATTTGATTTTAGCATTCACAAGTGAAATTATCAATGGCTTTCTTCTTTTTCCATTTTAATAAATCATAAGACAACATCAACTCACCGGGGTATTTGGGCAGAAGTCCTGTGATGCTTCACCACTGCACCAGGCGGCCCAGCAGGATGTGTCTTGTTTCCAACAACCTCATATATATGAAGCCCTGCTTCCTAGTGTGCACACCACATGGGACTCCCATGAACAGAGATTGAAAAACATACAAACAATTTATTAGAGCAATTCATATTCCAACATTTTTTTTTTCAACATGCTGTTCCTCATTGTTAAGGAACGGTTGCAATCACTACAAATATTTCTTCACATTTGTTTGTGGTCCAGTGTACCAAACCACAAGTGCAATCAATCAATCAATCAATCAATCAATCAATCTGTAGTACACAGACTTACAGTTACTATAGGTCCATTTATATTTGGATTATTTTCATAATTTTGGCTCCGTGTGCCACCAGAACAGGACCTGTGATGCTTCACCACTGCACCAGGCGGCCCAGCAGGATGTGTCTTGTTTCCAACAACCTCATATATATGAAGCCCTGCTTCCTAGTGTGCACACCACATGGGACTCCCATGAACAGAGATTGAAAAACATACAAACAATTAGTTAGAGCAATTCATATTCCAACATTTTTTTTTTCAACATGCTGTTCCTTATTGTTAAGGAACGGTTGCAATCACTACAAATATTTCTTCACATTTGTTTGTGGTCCAGTGTACCAAACCACAAGTGCAATCAATCAATCAATCAATCAATCAATCAATCAATCTGTAGTACACAGACTTGCAGTTACTATAGGTCCATTTATATTTGGATTATTTTCATAATTTCGGCTCCGTGTGCCACCAGAACAGGATTAAAAATAAAACAATCAAGATGAAATTGAATTGCAGACTTTAAGCTTTAATTCAAGGGGTTGAACAAAAATATAACATAAAATGCTTACGAATTACAACCATTTTATACACAGTCCCCCCATTTTCAGGGGCTCAAATGTAATTGGACAAATAAATATAATCATAAATAAAATGAACTCATGGACATCACCAGAGCCTGGGTTTCCTCCTTTGTGATGCTTTTCCAGGCCTTTACTGCAGCTGACTTCAGTTGTTGTTTGTTTGTAGGTCTTTCTGCCTTTAGTTTTGTCTTCAGTAAGTGAAAAGCATGCTCAATCGGGTTGAGATCCTTTGACCGCATGATGTGGGTTCACAGCAACAGCTTCCAAATGTAAATGGCACACTTAGAATCAACTCCAGAACTTTTACCTGCTTAATTGATGTAGAAATAACGAAAGAATAGCCAATGAAACTGATTTTGAGTCAATTGTCCAATTACTTACGGTCCCTTGAAAAAGGGGGAGGTACATATTAAAGAGCTGTAAGTCCTTAACCTTTCCTCCAATTTTGATGAGAATTAAAGCTCAGAGTGTGCACTTTAAGCCCATATTCATTATGTAACTGTAACTTGAAAATGTTTTGGTCAGCAGCTAAAATAATAAAACTTGTGTCCAAATATATATAGACCTAACTGCATTATTACACATTACATTTATCATTACATATACTAAATTGAATTAACAGTACAGTTGTTTTCAAAAAATACCAAACCATTTTCCATAAAATGTCTCCACACTTGTGTTTATTTGTCCATCATTTATTTGTAAAATTAGTATTATATATTCTGTGTATTATTATGCAGACATTCTAAAACTGACTAATTTTATAGGCAGTCTGAATTAAATTCACTGTTAAAAAGCTAATATAGTTGTAAATGTATATTTAGTTTATATTTTGCATTTTAAATAAATAAACATTGTGCATATACGTGAAAAGTAGAGAGCCCCTTAAAGAAAAAGATATTTCAGTGTTTTTGCACTCTCTAGCAAAATTTTTGCCTTCCCCTGAGAAACTTTGTGTTCACTCATATAATGTTTGTGATGGAAATAATATGATGTGGGAGGAAAAGCTACTGTATATTTAGTGAATGCAAAGTTTCTCTGGGGAACGCAATAGTTTTACAAGTAAACGCAAAGTTTTCCAGGGAAACAATGCTTTTGCAAGAGAATGTAAATGTTTTCCGTTTTTAGGAGAACACAGTATGTTTGCCAGAGAACTCAAAAGTTTTGTGAACAAATGCAAATACATAAATTTTTGTATTAAATCAAAATTTAATTTTGATTTACCCCCCATCATTATATGTTTTCCATCACTATGTCCTTTTAGGGGCTCCTTAGAAAAGAGACTGCAAATATGACAATAGTCTGCAAACTGACCATGTTTAGAATGCAGACCGTCACTGTGTTTCGGTGGACCAGAGAAAGCAGGTTCTTCAGCTTGAGGAGCAGCTTATGGACCAGAGCAACAGTGTTTTCATCCAAACACATCCACAAGCCTTTATATCGACCGAAACCTACAATCATATAAGAACCAGATGAACTTTATCTGAATACCCCAAACAAAAACGGTAAACCTCAATGTTTAATAAGATTTCACCTACTCACAGAACATTAACAGCTCCTTCTTGGCCAGTTCTGCTGATCTCTGAAGCCAGCAGTTAAAACTGGCCGCACGTTCACTCGCATCCCCTTCACCTATAGAGAAACAGCACATCAATCAATTTATGTGTCACATCATTGTAATCTATATTGGACTGAGATATGCTCAGGTACAATACAAGGCATTGAAGTCTTACCTTCATTATAGAGGCCTCGTATGCAGCCAATAAGGCCTTTGATATTGTTGTCTGTTAAAGCTTTATTCCACGAGACTTCTGTGTTTAGCATCATCCATATATTCCATAAAGAACCTTTCAAGAAACCTTAAAGACATCAACTACCACAGAAATCTTAGCCTTACAAATAAGGCCTTGGTTGAAACATATTCAACTGAGAAAATAAAAACAATCATTTGTGGTGTTTTAACTTGTGAATATGTATTTAAATGTAAAATTAAATGTTAAATAGTCATCTTGTAACAGTCATTCATCTGTACAGTAAGTTGTCCATGCTTTGGTCAATACTCATAAACATTGTGGTAATCATTACTCACCAGACAAAGCCCCTTTCATCCAGTAGTGGTCCTATATGGGCACCCTGCATTCAGATCTGCTGACTAGTTTGTATGCTCTTTCCCTTGACTCAATCCCCTTTAGGCCTGAATAATCCTTTGGATTTCACTGGCTGTCAGTACATGTGGTATTACATGAAATATGCATATTAAAACAGGAGTCATTCATATAAAGAATGCCCATGGTATACAAGACAGCAAACAGCCTTAGAGTCAGGAGACTGTTTACTTATAAATGGGAATTTTATTTGATAAAAAAGATATTTTAGTCCCAAAAATACTTTTTTTTGTTTTTTGTTTTTTCTTGTCTTTGTTTTTTGTTTTGTTTTATCTTGCTTTGCTTTGTTCTGCTTTGCCTTTGCTTTTGTTTTGTTTTGCTTTGTTCTGTTTTGTCATTGTTTTTTTGTTTGATTATTGGGTTTTATTTGTTTATTTTACATACTTGTTAAATGTTTCGTTTTTTTAATTATTATTTATTCATTTGTTTGATTTATTTCCCAATATTTTTATTTAATTTTAGAAGACAAAATAGGAGTCTTGTGCAAACTGTGTGAGGCATTAGATTGTGTTTGATGTAGGTCACATGGTTTTGGCACACATAAATATTACCTCTGTTTTGGTAGAAGGGGCAAATTTAATCCCAATGTTATTTATTGATTGACTGACTGATTGATTGATTGATTGATTGATTGATTGATTGATTGATTGATTGATTGATTGATTGATTGATTGATTGATTGATTGATTGATTGATTGATTGATTGATTGATTGATTGATTGATTTAAAATGAGGTCTCTTATTTTAAAAGAAATTACTAAGTAAAGTATATTATGTAACTAAGCTACTAAGTAAAATATTTAATATTTGTATTTAAATAGGATATGTAAAATATAAATTACATTACATTTACATTTAGACATTTAGCAGTCGCTTTTATCCAAAGCGACTTACAAATGAGGACAATGGAAGCAATGAAGAGAGTGCAAGTCTAAAAGGGGCAAGTTTTTTTTTTAAAGAATAGATTTAGAATAGAGAGTGAATAATGATACAACAATTAAACTATGTGACTCTTAGTAGCTCTCTCCCCCCCTTCATTCTCTGTCTAACACACACACACACACACACACACACACACACATCCCAGTCAGTGAGATTTGTGCTGGTGGCAGAAGGTACTCTTCCAAATCCAACCGGTCTGCTTACTGATTAGAAGGAATTATGAGAGAGGTCACAGCTGAGTCTGCGGCAGACACTAACACACATACACATATCAGTTTTCATCAGCAAACAATGCATTCAGGTTGTTTCACAAAAACTGAAGGCATCTGATGGAGAGAAAGAGAAAAATCACTTGGAATAGGGCGGGATGCTATTGAGTGATGGATAGGCATGGATGGGTGAGTAATAAGCTGTTTATTACTACCCTTATGCTGGGATCATCTCAATCACCACGCCTGGTTAAGGACAAGCCCTGTGCCTGTCTGTTCAGGTGAACTTATTTAGATTCGTCAGCTATTTTGAGCTTTCCACACTCAGAACAGGAGTATTATTAGCTTTTTTGAAACATTAAATGGCTAAAAATATTTGCATGATAAAAAAGGTAAAACGCTAACAATGTAGCATACTGAAAGATCTAAATTAACTGGATTCATTTCTTTTAATATGACTGAGTATGTATCCTTCTATTTTTATCAGACTCATATTTATGCAATCATGTTCTTCTCAATAGCCACCCATTGTCCAAATATATATAAGTACTTTTTCCTCTCTTTTTGCCTTTTAGGTGTACATTTGCAAAAATGGAAATAATTTCAGTTTTACTGTGTTTGTAAAGGACCTCAAATGGCATCTCCAAACAGTTTGACAGAGCCAAAATGATTTAGATTTGCCCGAGATAGTGTTTCAAGGTCTTTCCAATGATTGACACTCACTAAGTTAGCTTAAGAAGCTAATTGCTAAGAAGCATTAGTCCATTCATGTCATCTTCCGTAGGAACCTTGAACACCTCATTGACTTACATCTAAAACTAATTTAGTTGATTTGTGTACTAGGAACTCCAGTAGACTTCCACAAGATCAATTAAATCAAAGGTTCTCTGAAATATTGGTAAGATGGCTGTGCTGCCAATAAAATTGACCAAAACCAATAGAGACAAACTGGCCCAGGTTTTGTGGGTACTAAACTGGATATCCGTTGTAACAGGTATCATCCTCTTTAGCTTGGGCATCTTTCTAAAAGTTGAAATTAACAAGCGGCAGGATCTAATGGCTGAGAGTCAGCTCCAATCCGTGCCAAACATGCTAATTGCCGTGGGACTTATAGCCTGCGTGATTAACTTTTTGGGAGGAAAGATCTGCTATGACTGTGTGGACACCAACAAATTCCTACGCTGGAAGTTGGTGATGCTCCCATACATCATTTGCACGTTTTTCTTCACTCTGAGCGTGCTCGTGGGCGCCTTGATGTGCTACAGCATGCACGGACAGCTGGAGGAAGCACTAACATTGGGGCTACGGGACGCTATGCGTTACTATAAGGACACAGACACACCAGGCCGCTGCTTCTTGAAGCGTACAGTGGACCAGCTGCAGATCCAGTTCCAATGCTGTGGGAACAAGGGCTACAGAGATTGGTTCCAGATCCAGTGGGTCAGCAACCGATATTTGGATATGTCCCAACGGGAAGTGGTAGAGTAAGTTGGGTTTGGAAAAATAGTTATTTAAATAGTTAATATTATTTAAATTGTTAATAGCTATTAAAATATTAAGAGGAGTCCTAATATATATATATACAGTTATAACATGACCAATAGTTGCATTAATAATAATGAAATTCACAAAATTTTACAAATGCAATTTTTTCTTACTAGTCGTCTGCGAAGCAACGTTGAGGGAAAATACCTAATGGACGGAGTTCCCTTCAGCTGCTGCAATGTCAACTCTCCTCGGCCATGCATTCAGTACCAAATCACCAATAACTCCGCCTACTTTAATTACGACTACCAGACAGAGGAGCTCAACCTGTGGATGAGAGGATGTCGTCAGGCTCTGCTAGATTATTACACCAACATCATGCATTCTGTCGGCCTCACGGTTCTGATCATCTGGCTCTTTGAGGTTGGTTGTGTCTATTGCTTTGGCAATAGGGAAGTACTGAATATGTATTCAATACTATTTAGTACTCTCATATTCGGTCGTCATTTTAGTAATTCCATTTCTTTACCTAGCAATACATTTTTTTAATGGGTACTCTATTCATTGCCATTTTAGAGAACCTATAAATTTGATGAATGCTATATGATGTCTTAAACATGCAAATATGACCATGGATTTCTTAAATTAAATTATATATTATGTATAATGGTAAATTAGTTCCTTAACTGCTCAGCATACTAGCATACTTCCTGCCTCGAATATGCAAATATGAAATACATTTACATTTAGTCATTTAACAGACGCTTTTATCCAAAGCGACTTACAAATGAGGTATACATTTTTTATATATTTTAATATATACCCATAAAAAGATCAATACAGCAGGCAGTAATGCTAACACACTGCAACAGAATGAGTGTACCGATACAATTAAGGTGCAATATGTCTGCAAAGCTTTGTGGGCATCAAGCATTGCTCCCAAATAAGTTATTTGAAAAACCAAGCAGCTTTCTGTTGAAATCTGTTTGCGAAATCTTTCACCCACTTGATGTCCTGTTTAGGTAGATTCCAACTGAAATGACTAGACTTCACCTGAAAAATTTAGTTGAACAATGACTGTGCCTTTACAAAAATCTGGATTGTTCATGACATCAGTCCTTAATTAATCAAATTTGATTGGCTTAGCTGTGTTCCACAAATGCTGACAGTTGAAAAGCACTGGTAGGTGGATAGAAGTGGCCCTCTTTATGAGTAAGCCATTGAATTATTCACTCAAATGATTTGAAGGTGCAGGGTTCTTTCTAATTGGCTTCGTTTGGAACTATATTCAACTACTTCTACTTTCTACTACTTCTTTTTTTTATACAGTAATTGCATTCATGCCATGGCGGAATGCTTCCAAATTGCAAAAAGCATTTACGTCTTAAAGGCCAATTCACACTGCACTGACCGACGCAGACAAACAGCAACAGACACACATTTTTGCTAATTAATGTGTTACACCTGTCAGCATCTCTTGGCATTGGTCAGTGATTTTTCGCCAATTAAAAATGTTGAATTAATGTTTGTCGGGTCTTGGAGCACCTGAGTCACATACTATATTCGGTCAGCTGTTGCCGTTGGTCTATGTCTGTTGGTGTGGTGTGAATTGACCAATAGAACTTGTAAACTCAGTTCCAACCTGTGTAAAGATTTAAAATGACAGTGGCTTCAGCGATAAATTGTAGTTAAGCAGTTACTTTGGAATATTTAAGTTTAATAATTCCTATAATTGGCTACTGTTAATGTCTTAATAATAATCGCTGAAAATAAACTAAAGACATAAAATGTATATTAATTACGGAAATTACACAAATTAATTTTGCTGTTAATAGCCTTGCCATTGAAACACAGTTCAAGAACATCAACAACTCCAAGTAGAATGAATATAGAATGGTCGGTTTGTTTAAATATAGAGTTCTGGCATGAAACTCTAGATGGTGCAGTCCGATAGGTCTATCTAAATCTGACCTAATGACATCATTATCACATGGCACAGCTGATTGGTTCTCTCCTGTATCGGTAGCCAATGAGCTCGCTGCTCAACTTTCAAATATATGACTAGTGCTTGCGGTAGCAGTTGCAGCTTGCTTCAGAAACCCTCCACCTTCCCCAGCTCCACCTGTATAGATCTGCTACGAGGTAATTCATGTATGCTATATGGGGGTTATTTCATGTATGTTATATTTGCAGCAGCAATATTCTTACAAGCTCACAGCAGCATGTTGTGGATGTATTGGCAGTAGCAAGAGCAAAGCTCGGTACTTGCTCTGCTGCAGCAGCAACAGCGTAGCAGATCTATTCCGGCAAGACCAAATACATTAACATTGTCATGTACATTACAAATCCCTCTGAGAGTTGTCATGACAGAAATATGTATCAGAACCATTTACAGTTGCTTGACAATGTTTAAAGACTTGCTACAATTTGCATTTTTTGTTCTTTTGCTGGCAGAGAAAAAAATATACTGACCCAATTTTGTCTGAAACATTGTTTTAACAATTGTACTATGAAACTCTACACTAATGAAAAGCAAGGGGCAACTCACTATCTTTATAAAAATGTGCTCTGGTTGCGTGACCTAATCCGATTGTACATTCACTTTATAATCTGCTCTATGCACCAGTCACTCCAATCCCTCAGCGTCCTAAGTAAAGCACATGACTGCTTTACAAAGGATGACGTGAAGCTTCAGTAAGAATTGTCTGGACCAAATTTGTTTGCTATCGGTGAAAACTACCTCATGAATAAAGCATCATTTTCTTCTCTGACAGCTCTCTGTGTTAACGGGGGTCCGTTACCTCCAAACGTCTCTGGAAAACGTGCTGCGGCAGGGGGACCCTGAGTCTGAGTCAGACGGGTGGCTCCTGGAGAACAGCTTTGTGGAGACGGCTCGCTCTAATTTCAACATCATCAAACACCTGGGCAAGTTCAATCAGATCAACATATCAAGCAATGGAGATCCAAACATTGACAAACCACCGACAGCACACTATGGTCCAGACAATGTGCCTCCAAAGCCTCTTCCAATGGCCAGTTAGGTCTTCAGAATGCACATTTTGGCCAGAAACATTACATAAGCCACAGAGGACTGGACTCTGATGCTGTATGACTAAAAATGATGAAAACGGTTCAGTAAAAATTGAGATGGCATTGTAAAGCAAGAACATAGTGATATTACAACACACAACATACTTGAGGTCTGTTGTAAATTAACATGTAAGAACTTAACCAAGTAGCCTACTGTTTTAACACACAAGGCAAAGCATCATGGGGCCTTCATAGTTTTAAAATGTATAAATTGCCTCTCATTAAGAATACAACCGTTAAATTCTTTTGTGTTTTAGAGATTCTTGTGTGGATTATGTGATTACTGGAGAGTAGGTCTGCTACCTATCACTGGATTTATTTAGAGCTTCACCGTTTACTGTAGGTTTTTCATTAGTAATTAAAGCAACTGTATGTGATTTTTTTTTTTAGTTCCCCGTTAAATTCTTTTGTGTTTTAGAGATTCTTGTGTGGATTATGTGATTACTGGAGAGTAGGTCTGCTACCTATCGCTGGATTTATTTAGAGCTTCACTGTTTACTGTAGGTTTTTCATTAGTAATTAAAGCAACTGTATGTGATTTTTTTTAAGTTCCAAAATCATTCTGATGTAGGCTGCACTGACTTCTAATAAGGCGAATAGCTTCTGTTTCTTTAATATATCCTCCAAAACGTCTCTTCTGACAGTGTGTACGTTTGCCGGGTACGAAATTCCGCTAAAAGGGATTTGCATTAAGGCGGCAAAAAAAAAAAAAAATGCACGTAAGTGCAGGTTTTCACTGTAGTTACGACAGTGATAGCCTATATTTACGACATCGAACTGTTGAGGGCTCCAAAATCGCAAAAATACACAAAACTACATACGGTAGTACATGCTCTCTCTCTCTTTCAATATTTCTATTTCCATGAAATCAAACTGTCAGCTTACCCATTACAAGCCACCAAAAATTCTTATTTTATGCCTTGGTCTCGTGCCTAAAGCCAGGTATTGTAATCACTGGTGAAAACATGATACCAACAGCCTCTAAAACATTTTCCAAAGATGTATATTTCATAAACATTTTTTTTTTTTTTTTTACAAAGCACACCCATGTCTAAAATATATCATGGATATGTAATGACAATAAATGCAACATGTAAATGTAATCAATACATTATTAAAGAGTTTTAAGTGTTGGTTTCAAGGGTACTGAAGTTCATTGAATCGCTTGCATTATTGAATTATATGCTCTCTCCTTTACTGTTAAAAACAACTGTTCCAAAGGGAGGTTTTTCACAGTGATTTTGCGTTCCTCAAATAACATTTCAGTGAAACGTTCTTGAAAGAACCGATTATTTCTTAGTGTGAAGAACATTTTAATAATCTAAAGAACATTTAAAGGACAATAAAGGACCATTGAAAGGTTCCTTGGATGTCAAAGGTTCTTTATGGAACCATATGCCAATAAAGAAACTTTATTTATTTATTGTTATAAGTAAAGCCAGATGAAAACCTATCCTAAAGGAACAAACTGATTTAAATTTCACACAATTGTTGTGGTAACACTGTATTTGAAGCATGTATGTATACAGAATGCAATGTAAAGGTACATCAGTGCCTTATTATACACGTGCATTATATGTAATGTATTATATTTATCAGTTGTAATACCTATTGGTTACAGCTTTAAAAAGTATAATGCATTATAGAAATGGGTGCTGATCAAGTGTTATATTGCATTATACAAAAGTTTACTAGTTAAAGTGTTTTTTTTAAAACAAAAAAAAACAACATAAGATATCATAAAAACAATTATATGAATACATATGTGAATATTCAGCGGTCATTACGCCGGTCTTCATTGTCACACGACCCACCTGAAATCATTCCAATATGCTGATCTGCATATTATCAATGTTGCACTGATGTCTATGAATTACACGGAAATCTCAAAACATACACACAAGAGAAGCATTTCTTGTTTGTGTTTTTAATATCTAACAGAAACACCCATCAATCATAGTTAGGAAATAATTTAAATAATTTCAACCTGAATAAATAATCAAGTACAGATAATTGATGAATACAGAGATTTAACAGGATGACAGAATGTGAGGTGAAAGAGATCCATCAGAATAGTGATGTCACTCAGTAGTTTATTTCAGTTAAGTGCAAATTAAAAGCTCTTACATCTTGAACCAGATCATGAGTGGGAAAAAAAATTCAAAATCTGGACTTTGACTGACGCTCAGGTAAAGCACTTGTGTTTGATTTAGTATATATTGACAAGTGGAATATACTTGAATTTACATTGTTGCATGTGATTATGTGAATGATATTTTGTTTCTTAATTTAAATCACAGCTGCGTTCTTATAGTAAAATAGCATCATCTAATTATACATTATTGTTTATTTACATGTTCATGTGACATCCATAGCATGAGTGAATCTCATGAAACCTGTCAATCAAAAGAAATATGAAAATTAGCTTGAATTAAATGATCCCTATTATTAGAAATATTAACATCATTTGCATCAATATTATTTTCCTCCAAATTCATTACTGTAACAAATCTCATTGTCACTGTAAGAAAAAAATAATATGAATTTTATTTTTTTATGTTATGTTTGTTGTCTTTTTGGCTTTCATGCTGATTTAATTTTTAAAAGGATATAGTAATTTTACTGTAATAATAATAATGAGAATTTTAAAAGAAAACATAAAATGTTAAAGCAGCACTATGTAACTTTTGGCGCTCTAGCGGTTACTAAACAGAACTGCACACATCCCGCGGAAGAACATTCCAACCGGAGCTACTTCTCTAAGTTTATGTCTATGGCGATTCACGCAGATATGTGTTACTCCGCAGCGGTGACGACCGAACCAGGCTACAATAGTCCAAATATAAGTACTTATTATAAGTGTTACGTAGTGATTCGGAATAAGACAAAACACGCGGTTTGGAAGATGAATTCATGATGTACTCGCTCATTATATACATTTAGCAAATTCTGAACACAGAAAAAGTTACATAGTGCTGCTTTAATGAAAAACTGTATTTTTATGAAAAATATGACTTATTTTTTAGGCGTAGCATGTGAAGTAGCATAATTTGAAAAACAGCTTTTTACTCAGAAACACTGAATATACTTTATGTTGAGGGCAGCTTTACATAATAAAGTAGTACATAGATTATATTCACATGAATACATTTCTTACACAGATGAAAAAAAAGAGCAAAAAGGCTGTAGCAGGGTGAGAGGCCTAGCATTTCACATAGGTTAATGTGGTTTGTAGAGACACAAGCCCTGCAATAAATCTTTACACCCTGAAAACAAATGCAAAAACACCACAATGAGCAAAAAGAAAAAGCTGCAGTGCTAAAACGAGTGTAGATCTGCAACCCAAGCTAGATAAATAAAGAGCCCAGAGAACACATTCACTTCTTTAATATCTTCTATGGGTCTGTTTAGTGTGACTACCCATAATGCACTGGGCTGCTGGAAAACACGGACAGCAGTAGGTAGAGAAGTGAGGGAGTTTATTACTCCTTGCAGTCGGCGTGTCTTGCTACTCGCGTTGTGCACTTCCTCTGGCAGTCTCGGAGCTCAAAGCATCTGCCACTCAAAGGGGAACATGACATTGAGGAGCTCCAGACTGCGGGCGATTTCCTCCAGGACGCAGTGCTGCTGCCACATATGAAACAACTTGCGGTAGCGCTCTGGATACAAGTGCAGCGGGTTCCCACGTCTAGCAAAGCACAAACAAATACAGCTATAAAGAATAAACTGACAAAGCAGATGCTTGATGATGATACAGTGTTTACATCAGAATTACATTTTTAGCATTTTGATTATATTTAATATCTTTATGTTTTGGATGTGAATTATGATTCCCTCACCCACCCAATCAGAGGAACTGTAATTTTGACAAACCAGCCATTGTTGCAAATAGATTAAAACTGAATTAGTGTGGGGCAACGATTAATCGCATCCAAAATAAACGTTTTTGTTTACAGAATATGTGACCCTGGACCACAAAACCAGTCATAAGGGTCAATTTCTCGAAACTGAGATGTATATATCATCTGAAAGCTGAATAAATAAGCTTTCCATTGATGTATGGGGAACATGATCTTTAAATCATAACCATAAAAGAAAAATCGATAATTTTGACCCATACAATTTTTTTTGGCTATTGCTAAAAATATACCCAAGCGACTTAAGACTGGTTTTGTGGTCCAGGGTCACATATATGTGTGTGTACTGTGTACATTTATTATGTATATATAAATACACACACACACACACACACACGTACATATTTAAGAAAAATATGTTATGTTTATATATTAAATATATTTATATATAACATAAATTATATGAATATAAATATATACATGTAAATATGTTCATAATATATACTGTATGTGTGTGTCTTTATATATATACAAAATAAATATACACAGCACACACACATACATTATATAAAATAAAACTTTTATTTTGGATGTGATTAATTGTTGCCCAGCACTAAATTTAATACAAGAAAATTCAGTAATAAAAGTAAATTCAGTATAAAATCTATCATTGTTTCACACAGTGTTATTATAGTTACGTAAAACTAAACACAAAAACTGCTAAAAATGACTAAAGCACACAACAAAATGAATAAAACTTTAACTAAAATTAATATGAAAATATAAAATATAAAAAGAATAAATTCAGAATATGAACAAAACTTACAGTATCTCAATGACACTAAAATAACACTGGTTACCCACAGACTTCTCACTAAATCAAGACATAATTTTTTTTTAATCAACTAATAATACCATTTAAAAAGACTTTTCTTTTCCTTTTTTTATGGAAATGAATACTTAATCAGCAAGACCCATTAAACTGATCAAAAGTGACAGTAAAAGCCTTTATAATGAACATTCTATTCATCAAAGAATCCTGAAAAAAAAGTACGACAGTTTCTACAAAAATAATAAGCAGCACAACTGTTTCCAATGTTGATAATAATAAGAAATGTTGCTTGAATACCAAATCAGCATATCAGAATGATTTCTGAAGGATCATGTGACACTGAAGACCGGAGTAATGATGCTGAAAATTCAGCTTTGCATCACAAGAATAAATTACATTTTACAAAATATTGAAATATAAAATACTGGTTTTATTTGTAATAATAGTTTGAAATATTACTGTTTTTACTATATTTTGATTATATAAATGCAGCCTTGGTCAGCATAAGAGTCTTTAAAAAAAAACTCATTAACAGTAGTGTATATTTACTGTATATGCATTAATATAACAATATAGTAAAATTCACAATATTTAATTGCCAGTATTGGGGGTAACACATTACAAGTAACACAAGTAATCAGATTACTTTTTTTCCCTAAGTAATTAATGCATTACTTTTAAATTTACAACAAAATATCTGAATTACTTTTTCAAATAAGTAATGCAAGTTACTTTATTTTCCCATTTATTCACTTATTTTTAATAATTTTTTGGTGTGACAGGGCCTTTACAGCTGCCAAAAATAAAACCTCTGGGTTTTTTTGTTATTAAAACACAAATAAGCAAGCCCAGCAGGTGACAGAAAGTAACACAAAAGTAACAATGTATTACTTAGCATAAAAAGTAACACAATTAGTTACTGTTTCATGGAGTAAGGCAATATTGTAGTGCATTACTTTTATAAGTAACTAGGGCTGGGTAAAAAATATCGATATCTCGATAATAATCAATTCTCAGTTTTACGAAACGATATCGATTCTAAAATCCCAATAATCGATTAGTCTAGCCTGTTTTCAGTTAATAGACGGAACATTGAAGGGCACCTCCCATCCAATAAATCGCAATAAGCATTGTGCTTTGGTACTTTTAATATGAAACAAAGTCTCAAATTTCAAATTCTGTCCATTGTATTGCAGTATTCAAACAATAAATGCCGTTTTGGCGCTGTTTTGTGGAGTGATTGCTGTAGCGTGGCGCGCCTCAGTTCAATAAAAGCAGCAGCGCGAGGCGCACGTGAACTGATCATCTCCTCCACATTAATACCAGTTTCAGCACAAAATAAACATGACTAAACATCCGAAGGGAAGTTAAAAGAAAGAGTACAACTTTACAATCCATATCCTGTCTCATGTAATCTCTCAATCAGTGTTTCAGCCGCGCAAAGACGTCAATATAATGGCTTGTAAACAATGTCACGTAACGTCACATTTAACTTACCTCAGAAAAAACATATTCGGTGACCATAAAGTCATTAGTCAGCTAGAAAAATAAACTGTAGAGAGGAGCATTTTGCTAAATATATGCACCATATAATATATTCACTATAACTTTTACTGTTCTTCAAAGTTTAATTTATATATTTTTTTATTATAGCCACCATTTAAAAAAACGAATTGAAGTAGAAATATTATTATGTAATTGTAACTTTTATTATAAAAACTTCATTATGTAATTTAAGCAGTTGTATAGCCTAACAATTCAGTCAGTTTTAACCTTTAATACTATAGTAATGTAGTACCAACTGACTCTCATGTATATTTTACAGCATTAGTTAAGAGATTTTTTGTTCCTTGAGAAAATTTTGTATGTGTACCAGATACATATCCAAAATAATCAATATTGAATCGAATCGAATCGAATCGGGAATCAAATTGCAAGCTTGTGAATGAGAATCGAATCGAATTGTGAAATTTGTGTCAAAACCCAGCCCTATAAGTAACTTTTCCCAACACTGTTAAATGAATCCAAAATGTGTTCCAAACTCTATTGCAAGGAGCTGGTGTAAAAATTTTACAACAATGAACTTTACCCAAGCTGAGGGTCTGTTTCTCCATAGTCGTCAAGGTAAGGTGCTGGATAGGGACTGCCCCGTGTCTTACTGGCCATTAAGATGATCTCACACTCTCGAACCCTGTTCAGAAAGACACAAACAAGATTGTTATTATCAACAGTTAATTGTATTTCTTTATTTACATCAATTACATATTTATTTTGTAGAATAAGATACACACTGGCTGCGTCTGAAATGGCTTACTGAGTAAATACTTCATTTGAATAAGTAATTACGTCACCACCGCTAAAAAAGTATGTTCTATATTAGGGCTGTGCGATATTGAAGAAAAATGCGATATGCGATAACTCATTAAATAATGCGATATTCGATATGCGATACGATAATGCTTAAAGTGCCACATGCTCAGATGAAACAGTTTTACTCAGCTGTTACTCAGTCAGTTCTGTGAACTTCTATAACTATCTTGTGTCATATATATATGGTTATTTGTATGCATGTATGTTCCTGTAAAACCACAACAAATTCCTTGTGCTTGCGCACACTTAAGTGATTCTCTTTGAATTCAATATGCACTGATTCTTATTTAAGCTACAAAAGTTATTTAGGTAAGAGCAGTGAGTGATTTTCTCTTTGTCTTTTGTTCATGGCCCCAAATATTGCAAGCTGTAGCGATATGCATATTGCGATATGTACATTTGCGATATTTCGATATATTGCACAGCCCTATTCTATATAGTATAAATGCAATGTATGACGTTGTCATTGTCATGTGACCATACTGACCGCACTAGTAGGTGATCTGGCTACTTTTTGTCAACTGTTTTATGAATACTGTGAATTCGAACATACTAACATATATGTGATTTCAGATATATTCACAGAATAAATGTTTTCTCTTGTCTTCCTCTCACCTGAGAAACATTCCCACTCCAGCCCCACAGATTGCAGCGTGAGCCGTGCACGCGCCTACTTCCTCCCCGTTCAGCTGCTCCTGACAGCAGGGGCTCTGCGCACACAGCATGACCCCGCACAGAAGACACAGAGTCGGGTGCTTTCGCTCGTCATCTGATGAGTTTGGGCATCTATGGGCGAAGAGAGGAAGTCACAGGAAACATCCGATTAATCTGCACAAAATATTCAATTCACACAATGAACATTATAGGCAATCTTGTATTAACAGTACTTACTTAAAGTGACTAGCTTGATTGAGCAACACACTATAGTCCTCTGGAAGATCTATTAGCCTGTTTCTCTTATGAGGATACCTGAACAACAGGTGGGAAATTCCGTTAAATTATTGTTTTTAATAAAAAGGAAGTGAGTACACGATCAAACAGAGGAGAATTTAAGTGGCGTCTAACCTGATGATTTGCATTTCACCTTTGAGGGCTTTGGATATGGCTGTATTCTCACACCACCTGACACACAGAAACACAGCAATGCTTATAATCAAAGTGAATAGATACATAAATATACTATACAGAATTAGGAATTTAGAAATATACTGTCTTAAAGAAAACAATAAGCCACGGGAGGCCATACAATTCAGTGATTTGACCATGAGAAAGGGGAGTTTAGTATTATAAGACATAATAAATATATTAATATTAATGAAAATATATTTACATATTTAATACCAACAAATATCTTACTACTGATAATAAATAATTAAAATTATTAATAATTGTTAATTGACTAATATAAATAAAATTATAGCTGTTTTTTTTTTTTTTTTTAAAATCATCCTTCTACGTAAAATAAGCTATGG